GTAATGGTAAGAAATGTATACGACCTAATGGACTGAAACATTTCTTACCATTGCAGTAATCTCACATATTTTCTAATTTTCATTTCTTAGTTTCTTTTTTCCCTTTATTTCATTCTTTTTTATTATAACTTTCTGTTATTTTGTTACTATTTTCGAATGTTCATCGTGCCGCTTGTGATATATGGTAATCATTAGTTTTTGTCGGTAGCCTTTTTATACTTCGATCAATCTCTGTGTTTATTCCCCTCATTGGCTTGAAGGGATATGAAATACAACGGGGGATTATCAGCTTTGAGTCTTTGCTGTTTTCTGCTCAGCAGCACTGCCTGGGATCTCATGAAAATAGCTGTCTTTTCCATCGGCTCGGCTCATCTCCATCAGAGCATATATAATTTTACGTGAAAAGGAGGCGTAAACAGCGTCTTCTTAGAGTATGCGCTGATAATCGTGGGATTAGCTGATAAAAAATTGCCACGAAGCAATTGCATATGCTTGCAAATTGTTTTTTTTTTTCTCTGAGATAAATTTGCTGTTCCAGGGACGTCTGAATGCGCAAAAAGGTGTAATAGAAGTTTTCTCATGGAAAAATCGAGATGTTTCGGACGAAGAGCTGGAAGAACTGAGTCGGCGATTGGACGAATGGATTGAGCAATGCAAGAAAACCAAAGAAGGACTGAACCAGGTTGCGCAGTACGTGGATCGTACTGAGGAGGATGCAAAACAAAGGGAAGCCAAGGTGACAATTATCCTTTTGGACGGATTTCTCTGAATATTACGTGAAACAGGCTTTTTTCATAATCTGAAAGTTCAACCGCGTAGCTAGCAACTCTTCCATCGGTGGAATTCTTGTGCCTTCTGCGATCATAATTTCATGGATCCGAGTTATTGGGTCGGTTTCATATGGTAATTGGGTTGCTACCAAGTAGCGAAGAAAAAAATGCAGTATGACCTAAGCAGCTTCATTTACCCGTTCCAGTAACTGGTCATGGAAAATAACGAAGTGCGGGGCAACGCCGAGAGGCTAGGACGGGAGGGCGGGGGAGTGTGAGGGAGGGAGAGAGGGTCGAGAGGCGGGGCAGGGGAGGGGAAAGATGTGTATCAGATAACAGTTCTATTATTTTGCTTTCCACCGACTTACTCATTATTTTTGCAATTTCACAGGTGAAAGAGGAAGTGGAAAAGGTGCAAAAAATGATCGAAGAAGAGGAGGAAAGACGGGTACAAAAAGAAGCTTGTCGACGTTCGAAGAATATAAGAGGTAAGAAGCAATGTTAAGAAAGGGAATATGGCATACACTGGGGGTTTTTTAATGGAAATAATGTGATCTTACCTGTTGGTGCAGAGGGAATTTCATTTATCGACGATTGACAGAAAATATCTAACGATGAGTGGAAGGAGGAGTGTAATTAAGAAAGTTTTGTTGGATATTTGGCTGAAGAACTGTTGCAGATATGTCCATGTGCTGATGAGAAAATCGTACAAAAAAAGAGGATGCAGAATTGATTTGTTGACATTATTCTTGAGATGTCCATACAGATGTACTGTACAAATACTGTGGCGTATATGTTTTCTCGATACGAATTTTTTTTTCGTTTATAATTTAAAATAGTTAAGAATTGGTGCTTTTTACAGGTATTATTAGAAAAACAGTTGAATGCGAATTGTCCTATAAAAATCCGTCATCAGTAGGGAACTTTCCCATTCATGAAGCTGATGCTTAGGTAAAACTGAGAGCCAATAAGGTAAAGTTACTTAGGTAAATCTTTTGTTGTCAAACTTTGTAGGATTAGTGGCTGTGCTGTTGCGGTAGTGACGGA